AGGGGGGAACAGAGAGATGGAGAGGGGGGAGAGATGGGGAGGGGGGAGAAAGAGGGGGGAACAGAGAGATGGAGAGGGGGGAACAGAGATGGGGAGGGGGGGCAATAAAGAGATGGGGAGGGGGGAGAGATGGGGAGGGGGGAGAAAGAGGGGGGAACAGAGAGATGGAGAGGGGGGAACAGAGATGGGGAGGGGGGGCAATAAAGAGATGGGGAGAAAGAGAGGGAAGAATGAGACACAGGGGGAGACAGAGAGGGAAGAATGAGACACAGGGAGAAAGAGGGGGAATAGAGAGATGGGGAGGGGGAGAAAGAGACAGAGAGGGAAGAATGAGACACGGGGAATAGAGAGATGGGGAGACAGAGAGGGAAGAATGAGACACGGGGAGAAAGAGGGGGAATAGAGAGATGGGGAGGGGGAGAAAGAGACAGAGAGGGAAGAATGAGACACGGGGAGAAAGAGGAGGAATAGAGAGTTTGGGGAGGGGGGAGAAAGAGAGGGAAGAATGCCCCCCCTCCCCTGTCCGCAGGCACCGTGCGGGCAGGGGAGGAAGAGAGGACCTGGGAGCCCACCCTGCAGCTCCTCTGGGTCCTTCTTGCGCGAGCACAGAGCGTTGCCGCGGTTACCATGGCAACGTTACTGCTCTTGCGAGAGTCAACTCTAGCCCTGGAGCTACGGGCTAGAGTTCACTCTCAACACTGTAACCCCCATGGATTCCTGGTGGTCGCAGTGGTGAGAGTGAACCCAGCCCCATAAACACACTGCCCCCACACACACACCATACACATTCACACACTGCCCCCATACACACCATACACATTTACACACATTGCCTCACACACACACATACACTGCCCACCCATATACACACAGACCCCCATACACAGCCCCCCATACACAGCCCCCCATACTAACATTGCCACACACATACACCGCCCACACACCCTACACATTCACACACTACACCCCCACACACACACTGAACCTTTCACACACATTGCACCACTGCTCCTATTCCCTACTACAGCCTCATATCCCAGCAGACCCCAGGTAAGTTGTCAAACTGTTCTTAAACAGTTTGACTACTTACTCTGGAGCAGTAGTGGTTATTGTGCATGGATTATTTCTTTAAATAATCTACAAGTGCCCCAGTAGCCAGCCAGCCAACCCACAGGCTGGCCAGTAGCCAGCCAGTTAGCCAGCCCACAGGCCTACAGCAAGCCACAGGCTTACAGCCAGCAAGCCACAGCCTGCCAGCCGCAGTCAGCAAGCCCACAGCCTGCCGGCAGTAGCCAGCAAGCCCACAGCCTGCCGGCAGTAGCCAGCAAGCCCACAGCCTGCCAGCCGCAGCCAGCAAGCCCACAGACTGCCAGCCAGCAACAGTAATTAAGGTAAGAGGAGCCAACTTGGCTTAGGTATCAGCGAGCTATGTTGTGTTGCTATATTGTGAATAGGAACCAGAGTGTTGGAGAGACCACCCTCCAGGCCCCATTAGACTCTAGCCTCTGCTAGAAATCCCCTCCATGGCCCATTAGCCCTCAATTGTAGTTTCTACTGGGGCCTGGAGGCGACTGTTTCCAGCAGGGGATATCTAATGGACGCTGAGATGGCCTCTGTTAGAAAGACCCCCTTCCAAGCCTTTTAGACTCCATTGTAGTCTCTAATGGGGCTTGGAGGGGATTCTATCTAACACACTCTCTAAAGGACACTGAGATAGCCTCCGCTAGAAAGACCCCCCTCCATGGCCCATTAGCCCTCAATTGTAGTCTCTACTGGGGCCTCGAAGGGCTTATTGCCCTTTTGTTCCTTGTGTCTAAAGATTGTGTAGGGTGTGGCTGGAGGCGGTGCATGGAGGCGGGACAAGGGTGGCGCTTGCTGCAGAGTATGGGTGGGGCCTGTAAGGGGGCCCTTGATTTATTTTGCCCGAGGGCCCTGAGGGTTCTCCGTCCCCCCCTGATCCTAACTCTAATGCTAATCTTAACCTTAAAACTAGAAATAGTGTTAGAAGGATTCAGCCAGCAGAGGATTTCCCTTGCTGTTCCTAATCCTAAACCAAACCCTGATCTGGACCCTAAACCTAATACTAATCTTAAACCCAAGTAAACACGCAGTGTCTGTGTATACCAAGGCGCTGAGAAATAATACGTTCAACACTATAGGTCTGCACACTACAACACCACCCCAACGTAAATACAAACAACCAAAAAGAGGAATATGTGTTAAACACCAACATAATTAGTGGAGTGTGCAAGGTGCAATAAGGTGAACACCTACTCCTAATTAGGGATTGGAGAATAGTTCTGGGAAAAGGAAAAAAAAGCTAATAGTGTAAAATTGTAAGTCACATGGAAATGAGCCTCCCAAGATTGGCTCAAATCATAGAGGCAGGAATGTACATGGTGACACAAAACCGTCTTCTTCTCCAGTCAGGTAGCATATGTGGGAAAGAAATGTAGAAAGAACCAGAAATCTGGTGTAGTATATTTACACAAAAGTGTGGCAATTATATATAAAATAGATATTGTTCACCTTTTCTAGAGCCCCTTGGTCCTAGCTGTAGGTGTTAGCGCTCTGTGCCTTTCTTGCAACCCTTTCTTGCAAGCAGGAAACAGGAGTAGCTGACTTAGATCGTGCAAAGTAATTAATTGCATAAAACAAGTATATCAAATAAAAACAATAAAAAATGTAAATAATAAAAGTAAAAAATGTCTTAGCTTCTCCTCCGAGACGTGTTTCGCCCTCTCTTTGGGCTTTAACAATCGGCACGTCCTGCTTGCATATTCTCCCCCTTCAAATAGGGCTTCCTCCTCTCCTGTTGGTTAGTATCTCCTTTTTCTTTCAATAAGGTGCAGAGGTTCTGGGGGTACGTGTTCTTACAAAGTGATGTAAATTTAGATCCCGGTCCGTTTAAAACAGCTATATTCCGTCCTGGTTCCGTAACTCGGAAGTGACGTTATGCTACCTCTAGTGTACATCATATCCTCTCATGTTTTGATTGCCATATTTGGTCAGGGATACATCGGTTGAAGTAAGGGAAAAAAGGCTAAATGCACATTCTTGGCTATAAAGTGTGTGTGTGGGGGGGGGGAACGATCTCGGGATTCCTCACCCATATGTAATCCATAAAATGTATAAAAAGCATACGTAACATGAACACCAGAAAGAAAAAGGGGATAAAAGAGGGAAGAAAGAAAAATCAGCAGTTATTTCATAAACATAAATGCCCCCCAAAGTACAGAGTATAAAAGTCCCCAATAAGTCTAATGTACAAGGTGCATACATGAATACAAGTTTATAAATGGTGATCAAAATATATATAGAAGCCAAATAAGGATTGATTTAGCACAATCAGATACTTCAAAACCGGTGTCTCTTATTGAGATAAAAGGTTCATAAATTATAAAAAATTACATATTTCAAAATCGTTATTAAGGCCAAAAGGGGTAAGAGTATTCAAATTGAAATCCACTTTATTTCCTGCTGACCCATTTTCCTAATTATTATTATTACTATTTCATAATTTATATAGTGCCAGCAAATTCCATAGCACTGAACAATAGGTGGACTAACAGACACGTAATTGTAACCAGACAAATGGACACACAGGAACAGAGGGGTTGAGGGCCCTGCTTAATGAGCTTACATGCTACTAATATCCTCTTCTCTCCAATTAGTTTCTATTTTATGGATACCAAAAAATTGGAGTTGTTTTGGATAATTATTGTGTTTATGTGTAAAATGAGAAGAGAGGCTATGTTTTTCAAAACCGTTTTTTATGTTTCTTATGTGCTCCTGTATTCTTACGTTGAGAGTACTACCGGTTCTGTCTACATATCCCAGGCCACAGGTACATACAACTAAATAAATAACTCTTTTGGAGT